TACCAACTCCAAGCCCCAATTGTTTGGTTTGCGGGAGTTCGCTGTTCTAAGACTCAGGCGGACATCTCCTGTGACTCTCCACTAGAATGGCAGACGCCGGTAAATGTCATCCATACTCCTGTTGCATAGATAGTGGAGAAAAGCCCTATTCTTTGAAATCGATAGAGAAGCAGGCGAATGGGAGCACGTTTAACGGGATAAGTAAGTCCCGTGAATTCCACAGGGCCAAACGTCATAATACTTCTAACTTTATGATTGCTATGCATGAAGTAGCTGGAACGCAGCATGGCGAGGAGCAGGGTGGTGTTCTATGTTGACGTAAAATGGTCTGTAGACTATGATCCATAGTGTAGGGCTTCCCGATGCTTTTATGACTACATAGACTCGCAAATTCATAATAAGTGAGCGATTAAAGCTTCAACAATAGGAGATCAAAGTTCATGCTTCCTCTAACAAGGAGAGAAACAGCCAAATCGCGTTGAATACTGGCGAGCAACGCAATTGTGTACTTCCTGCGTAGTCCCAAACAAGCAAGAGTTGGCGTAAACAAAATTCACCTTGAGCTAGAGCAATTTTGGAGGGTCATGCTCATGCCTTTGTGCCGTGTTGAATTAAAGGAATAAGCAATGCAAATGTACAACGGGACAAGTATCAAATTTGTCCAAAACACTTGATATGACGAGTTATCTATAGGTGATTTGCCTTTGGGTCATCCTAATAAAGTTATTATTATATCCTTACGTTAGCCATTAATGTGTTGAGTACGAAAAGGACGACTGACGACATATTCTCCAGACATTACGACAGGCAACGGGACAGGTAGGTAGAATGCCATTTGCTATAGACGACGAGACGGAGACAAAGACGAACTACTGCGACTACATTATCAGAGAGATACTGAGACAAGAAGAGACTATGAAGGGCCTGGGTAGCTATGGCAATATGGGCGCGCATGTAGCTACCCAGGCCAACGGAACAAAAGGTGAGTACGGGGTTCATATGGTTCATGCAAACCAGCTAGGGAAAAAGGTAGACTGTACGAAAGGAGGTACCTAACAAATGGTACGAAAACTGTTCTTTCACCCTGAGAAATGGAACATGGCTTATCATTGCTCGAAACTGCCTGCACAAAAATGGCCGCACAAACGCACTGCGATATAACTGTTGGGACGAGGTCAGGGTAAAAGACGATGCTTATGATTGTCTGTTTTGCATATGCTTTGTAAAACGCAGGCCGCCAGGCAGGCAGGCAGGCACAGTGGGTTGGTCTAAGACCATGATTGAGAGGTACCAGGTTCAAGTCCTGTTTGGAAGCGGAAGGATTTTTCCAACCATGCTGCGACCCACAGTTAATTAGGAACTCGTTTTGAGGTGGGTTTCTATTGGCGCGTACATCGACTGTGCAATGCCATGTAAAGGGTTCTGGAAAGCATTCTTGACGCTAAATAAAGGGGGGTTTGTCAACTGACAACCGCCCTATTTAGTTGCAATTCACTCTTGGCGTATGCGCTGGATAAACATTCTTTTATTAGAGATGCCGAAAAATATTATAGACGTTTCGGGCTAGGCACACATCGTCAGAGCCTTTTTTTACAATGCAGCCTTACAATGCAGTTGTGTGATGTCGAACATTTTCTGAATTCGTAACACTGTAAAGATACAAGTAATCTACTGGGAGATAATAATTTTAATATAGCTGTGAATGGGATGAAGGCCGCAGACTTCACGCGACTGCGTTACTTGGTCGATATGTAGGTGTATTTTAAAACAATAATATCGAAACCCAGAATCGTGTTTCTCGTTCCTATTATCAGTGGGGAAAAATACGGAACTAAGGGATACCAAACAAGGCAACTGAAGTTAAGTAAAAGAAGGGTGTTAGAAATGCCACATAGCATAATGATAAACGTGCAATGAAACCACTAGAGGAAACGCAAAAAGATAACAATATTACGTAACCAAAGGTGAGAAACCGCTGAACGAAGTTTCAACCTACGAAAACAACCTAAGTGCAACAACGGTCTCTCTCTCTGCTTACACAAAACAGGCCTCTGAATACGTATACAAACTGCCTCAAGGACTTTCAACTGCTGGACATAACGCGCACGACACAGTACAGAAAAATGAGGGTCATGATACACACCAAAACAGTCAGGCGTTTCTTCTAGTGGTTTTATTGCACTTGCATTTTCATTGTTAGGTATCCTTTTGGTCCCTATTTTCCCCCACTGATGATAGGAACGAGATAATCGATTCTGGGTTTCAATAGTATAGTTATAAAAGACGCAAACATGTCGAACAAGTAACGTAGTTGCATGATGTCTGCGGCCTTCATCCTATTCATAGCTAAACTGTAAAAAGAAATAAAAAAATATAAAAACATTTCGCCAGAGGCCGAGTTTTCCGCATCCGTAGGAGGGCCACCACCCTTCAAGTATCAAGGCGCAGTCTTGACACACAGTATACCTTCATACAAGTGCCCCAAAATCAGATGATTCAATGGTCTAGAAAATAGTCGCAGAACAGTTCGTACTATTTTATCTACAAACTATGCACCGTCAAGCTAGTATTGCCTGACCTACGGTTAGTTCACCTTGGACAGGAGCGACAAGCCGAGACGCACGTGTCCATCAGGTGGGACAGCGTGAGAACATGTCAAAGGACGCCACTACCAGGGAAAGGTCTTAGCTACATTTCTCCCGAATTCACCCGCGCGTGTCACAGAGTTGACAACACCGTCTATCCCGTGGAGGTCGACAGTGAAGTCAATATGGACTTGCGCATTTGGCCTTATACTTGACAGCACAGACTCAGACTGTCCATTGGTTCTATCTGTACAGTGTGTCCGCCGGTTGCAGCTTAGGACTAGAACATTTTCATACTTGAAGTAGTAATAGTACACACAGTGTCCTGTTTGCTAGCAACAACACATAAACAATGAATGTTTACCTTTACAGGTAGGTAAAGCTTGACGAGTCATGATCATTTTCATAATGTTTTACACGAATACTTGCTTTAAATATTGTTGCCGTCCTTCCAAGTCCATTGGCAAATTCACAGCATCCATTACGCGTCCGATCAATCTTCGGACTGTACAACTGTTAATTCAGCAGATCAAAACCAACAGGTATGATTCGGACTCAGGGATCAGGACAGCGTGAAAACAAAACAAAGGACGCAACTACCAGGGAAAAGTACTGGCAACTTGAAGTACATTTCTGCGGAATTAACCTGCACCTGTAACAAAGTTGACGAAATTGTCCAGTGCGTGGAGATAGGCAATGAAGTCACTATCGACTTGCGCATTTGGTCATAGACTTGACAGCACAGACTCAGATGGTACATTGTGTCACTGCTTTCTATGTGTTCCTTGGTTGCAGCTTAGGTACTTGAAGTACCTCTAATCGTGGTGCCCTGTATGCTACAAACATCACCTTTGCAATCCATCCATTGAAAGCTGGCACCCTAACTTTAAAAAAACTCTTCCGTACACAAAACTATTATTGATATTTTGGCCGGGCACAAAGGTGTGCTTTCGGCTTAAGAGGTTTTCAGCGCTTGTGCCAGTGATTTTGAGGTTTATACCCTCAATGAGTCCAAGTCAAGTTGTCAATGCAAACGGCAGCGACACTACGCCTGCGAGACATGACTTCCGCCAGACCGACCCCTACTGAAAGGAAGTTCCAGGAATATTATACCTGCGCTGGCACTTCATATCGTTCAATGCGGCAGATAGTTATAGTGGATCACTTTCCACCACTTTGGGGCGAACAATTTTTTTCTCTTTTTCAACAGGATTCAGGATTAAGATATTGACCATGACTTCACGTGAAATATGCATATTAGCATTCCCTATGTACAAATTACCACCTTCATGGTCCCCATCTACTTACTCCTCTACGTATTGCACTTTACGCTATTCACATGTGTTTCTGAGCCAAATTCGCCCTCTTAATGATGCCTGTAGTATATGGAGTCATACCGTCCAACTCCCTGATCAAGAACCACCTTTCCACTTCGGAAGCGGAAAGAAAGGGGAAGCTTTGCCAAAACGAATTGTACAAAACCGGACGCCAATATATAACGGTGCTCTTTATGCCTGCATGTAATGTGGACGTGTTGACTACGATAACAAGTAGTTCCACATTAAGTACGTCTCGCCCTATTTTTACGGCTCATCAGGTGTGCCAATTTAACTCCGATACTGATCTAGTAAAATATTATATTTTGAGCCTCTAGATCCCAAAAAGCTTCCTACAACTAATCACGCGTTCACAAGGGGACAACCATACGAACTTAGAAGCTGCCACGTGATCCTTGTGTGCTCCGAACGGCAGTCGTGATTAGCCAACTGTCACGTTCGGCTGGAGGCGTGCTTTCCTCTTTGGAACAACCAACTTCGTCACAATTCCCGCCGAAGTCGCAACTTCTGAGTTCATAATGGAAGAGAGCGTGTGAGATGCCTGTATCTTTAGAAAACGTCTGTGGTAACTGCTTTGCACCACAGGCAGCTTAGAGAGAGCTTACTTGAAGCTCGTAGCTGTGGTGATGAGGCGTATATGGCAGAAACAAGTTGTTGTCTGCAGCATTTGTGTAAGATTGTCCTGACCAGTTTCTATTATTGTGCTTTGTGAGGAAAAGGTTGAAAAGGGTTACTTGCTTACCCGACAAGCTGGACTACGCCACGAAGTACTAGTAGCATCACCTTTAAGCTCATTTGGTCTGATTGGAATGTGAGTACTGCTAGGACAACGCTGCTTCTTTCCGAACGACCAGTTGATCATTGCGTTCAGGGGAGTAGAGCATGGACTGGTATTTGACAGGTCACGCGCTACAAGTCTAACACCAAGCTGTGCCTGTGAATAAAGAAAAAAGTCACGTTTGCAGATACAGATGATAGATTTGCGTAGACGCATTGATGCGCATTGAGCTGCGCCTGGGCTTCATATCAGTACGAGAACTGCCGACACAAACTGCAAGCTTATTTCGATTTTAGCAAAGGTTGGTACAACGTAAGCATAGGTTGTTTCTTTTCAAAACAACGAACCATGGCTGATCCCGTAGGCACTGTCCAAGACCCAATAGGGTATAATGATGCCTCCGTTTTGAAACGCCCGATCATAGGTGGATTGCTCATGCCGATCCCAGCTGGAGTTTCGAGTCCTGCGGAGCATTCATTCATTGTTCGTAAGTACCACTCTTCCATTCTTGTTGAAACCGAACTGAGGTTATTAGATCGAGCAACGACCTTATTTTTTGCCCTTTCAGTGCTAATGACGTGATTTCTCGCTCTGTAAAGTGTGCCTGAACTGCGGATGACGGGATACCTCGCTCCACGGCCCATGCAATAGTACTAAGTGCATAATTATAATCACTGTACAAACAGTCGTAATTCATGTCGACAACGGCAGATTTTCACAAACGATATACCGTTGGAAAGGCATTGAGCCTAGCTTTCCAGTGATAAAAAGTTCCTAGCGATAAAACTTGAGCGAGCCATGACGAATAGAATTGAAAAAAAATCAAAAATATGCTTTCTGGACAACAGTTGAAATTGTTTTGCTCGCGACTAACTTTTTTTAGTGGATTTTTTGGATCCCAGCTTTGCAGCGCAGTTTGAATCGTTAGGTTTGGTTTCGTTTGAGAGAAATGGCGAAGAAAATGTATTATGAAGTTGTTAAGCGATTCTGAGACATGTAAGGGCTTCTTGCAGAGCTCATAACGTTACAAGTGACCATGGAATGTGTATGGAGCTGAGAACTGCCAGGGGTCTTCGTCAGGCTGAGGCCTTTCCAACAAGCCATGAATTGTGGAAATCCATCAATGTATGCAAAAAATTGGCGAAAAATTTAGCTCGGCGACGGACATGCAGGGTTTGAAATGAAATTCTAAAGCAAGTGCTCCGATACTTTTTGGCTTGTTTGAATCCGGTTGCAAGTTTCTGAGCTCCGACAGAATTCACCAGTTACAAGTGTCTAATACCAAATATAGCCTCAAGATTTCCAGTATCAGTGAAGGACAGGCCTACTAGTCGACCCGGTACCCCCGCATGTACTTGTAGAAGAAGTGCTGCTTCGGAGAGATCCCCACCGGACAACATTCGCCCTGGAGAGATATCGACCCAGAAGCCCCCAGGCCCTGGTCATGCTACACGCTGCTCGGCCCAGCTGCATCCAACCGAAGCATCCGCAGTGATTGAAGCGGATGATCCGTTTGTAGATGTGGCGCCTGAGGTGATCAACACCGCCGGTTTTGTTGACATAGATGTTTTAATTTCAAAGTTCAAATCTGCACTGGCCGAAATCCTCGAGGAGAAAGAATCAAAGATGACGAGAGAGATGAGATCAGTGAGACAGGAAATGCAAGAAATGCACAGTGCGTACACCGATTTGAGGCACCGTATAAACGGCCTTGAAGATAAATTTGAACTGCTACGCACGATGAACTCAAGCACACTTACCTCGCTGTCTGCCCGCCTGACCATTGCCCAGTCATCTGGAATATCAAACTCCTCCAACCTCGAGAGCAGCACCAGACAGACATAATTATATATAATTATTCTAATTATTCCGAGTTCTGCAAGTACATACTTCGAAGCTATGCGCGCTGACCTATGGGCACAGCCCCTGTATGAATGTTAAGAAGGAGCTACCTCAATCCAGAGCGCTTGGTTTTCCTGGCAGAGTTATGCACACGAGCGCATCTGCAGTCACTTGGCTACACGTTTGCTCAGACCACGAAGAAAGCTGCCTGCGAAGCCCTGGTTCACGGCAAGCCACAAGCGGCAGCACAAACAGCGAAACAGGATGTTTGCCCTAGCCAAGCGAACTTACACCGTGCAGGATTGGGTTGCGTATAGCGTAGTTCTCAACGCCCTCTCGGGCAGTGTCAAGCACAGCAAAGCGGACAACTTAAACCAATTGTGCTCACTTATCGACAGTGAAAAGAATAGTTACAGGTGGTGGGCACAAGCCAAGAAGTTTGCGAACACTACGAGCCAGGCGGCTTACTTAACGACGCTGACCGACGAGAGTGGGCAAGCCCCATGCGACGCAAGCAAGGCAGAAAAGCTCGCAGACACGTTTGTAAGACAATTCTCGCCAAACTCTAGCTTGGACCTAGCTGCAGCTCTCCTGATGCCCTCGTTCTCTACACCTAACTATGAGTTTGATCTGCCAAGAATAACTGAATAAGAAGTCTTCCGAAAGCTCCGATCACTTCCGGCAAGAAAATCCACCGCAGGACTGATAACAATAATAATAAAAGAATCCTAAAATAAACTGTGCTCGTGATGAAGCAGTCCTTTTGTCAGCTTCTAAACCTCAGTCTACGTCTCGGACAACTACCAGTTGACTGGAAAATCGCCACTGTTATCCAGATATTCATAAATAATGGACAACCAGCAGTACCCACCAGCTATAGACCAATCTCCCTCCTTCCGGCCATTGCCAAGCTCCTAGATTCGATCGTCGCGGAGCACTTGTCGAGGTACCTATGCAAAACAAAGTATCCATCCATGACATAATCTCTGCCCACCAGTACGGTTTCGTCCGCCGGAAGTCAACATCGGATCAGCTCGTCATGCTGAAATCTAGGAAAGCCAAGGCAATGGAAAAGCGGAGCACCTACCACACCCTGTTCCTGGTCTTCACTCAGGCGTTGGACAAAGTGCCGCATCCAGTCCTCCTCTACCATCTGGGCACGTTTGCAACCCAGAACGCACTTTCGTGGTTCTACAGTTACCTTGGTGACCGGCAATTCACGGTCAAAGTCACTTCCTCCGTATCCACAACCCGCCCTATAGCCGCTGGCGTACCACAAGGATCCCATCCCGGCCCTATCCTGTTCCTTCTGTACATCAACTCTCTTCCGCGGACCATCCCAGATGAGGACCACCGTCAAGTTCTTCTCTTTGCCGATGACACGACCATTGGAAGGGAAGTCGCTGCACCTACCCCTCCCTCTTCCCAGCATCATAGTCACCCACTCCAAGTTGCCACGGATGCCGCCCTGAAATGGGCCGACTCGGCATGTGAACGCTTTAACCCCACGAAGTCTTTCCTAATGACGTTCTCCCCACGTGCCAACGGACCAGACCCTCCAAACATCGGGCACATGCGAATGAACCAGGAAGACGTGCACACGGGCGACACACGCCGCCATCTTGGCGTGCAAATTGATAGCCACCTCAACTTCCAGTGCCACATCGAAACAATCACCACCAAATTTTTCCAACGCGTGGTACTACTTGCCCACATGTCGAGCCGCCTAACGCCCGAAGTTACAAACCGGCTTTATACTGGTTATGTCCGAACCACCATTGAATACGCCTCGCCACTGTGGCAGTTCCAACTGTCCGCATCCCAAGCGGCGGTCCTTGAGCGTCTGCAGATTGGCACGAGTCGTCTTGAGACAGTACGGTTTGTTTCCCTCCGCTACTGAACCGAAGTCATCTCTGTTCGCGCACCTGCAATGGCCCAGTCTGGCATGGCGGCGACACATCCAGTGCCTCCTGGAGTTTCATCACCTGGTCCATCACCAGACCACTCCCCTTATGGAGCTGGGCTATAGTCTCTCCACCAGCACGTGCCGCCCTCTCCAACTTTTCCCGCCTGCCAGGGCGAACACCTACTCGCGTGCCACTTTCCTCTTTGTTACCGCTGCCAACTGGAATTCTCGCCCCACGGACATTAGAACCACCGAAAATAGTCATTGCTTTGTGTCTCGTGTCCGTACCATCTTTGCCAACACCCGCTTCGAACCCGCTGCTTTCATTCCTTCCAGAGTTTCTATAACATAATAACGAATGTTATAGCTGATTTCTACAGTACGCATTTTTTATAACCCTTCCTCTTCTCAATCTATATGTTATAATTTTGCAGATATATTCCCAGCAAGCCATGAATGGAGACCCCCTCGACTTAGGCCTCGGCCTTTAGGGAATCCATAAATAAATAAAAAAATAAAAATAAACTTAGCCGTCAGGGAGAATTTGACCAGCTTGTGACCGCCCCATTCCTTTTATACTACCTAAGTGCTTGATGGAGTTCACCTGATGAATTGACATGCAGGTGTCCCTTAATTCAATTCAATAATATTACAAATACAGAGAATAAGATGGTAAAATTTAAATATAATGGGAAAGTGTGGGCATACGCTATGCGATCGGGTCCACAAACTAATTTTCCCTATTTCAAGAAATAACTCAATGAGTGGCTCGCCTGCTTTCATTAGCTATTGTCTCTGGGACTCGCTTCCCCAAAAAATGCAATCATGTGAAAACATTTCTGCCTTTGCTCGCGATCTCTCGGACAATTTCCCGTAAACCTAATAATACAACTTGATTTGCAGCCCAATCTCTTCTTTTATTGTTGTTGTTCTGATTTGCACTTGTTTTTCTTTCTTTTTTTGACCCATGGCTGGCTATAATCGCCCTCGCTTCCTCCTTGATTGGCCTTGGCCATGAGTGTGCCCGTAATAATAACAATAAAAACAATAAAGCAGATTCTTAACAGTCAGACGTGCACAATCTTGAACAACTACTTACAAGGAGTACTGAGACATTCCACGGCATGAAAGTCAGCTTCAGCTGGTGTAGTTGGTGGAGTCGATCGCATAACTTGGTCCCACAATTTTCCATGTTACAATATTTTCCTTAGCTCGCCATCTGATCAGTCACCACTACTGCACAAAGGTCGTTGAAGATGCAAATTCAAAAATTCTGCACTCACATCACTATCACCACAGCGAGGACAATTCCGGTATATCATTGCTATTGATAATGACCCTCCACACAGCTGTTTCGCTCCTCCTGAGCTCATCACCGGAGGCACATGATGTTGAATGAAAGAATAATAAGAATAGACTGACCTTTATAGGGCGAAATTGGCGCAATTGCGCTCATTCTGCATAGAAACGTGGCATACCTTAGGTGACAAAAGAGATAAAAAGGTCAGGTGATAACAGCACGCGCTCATGGCTGGGACAGGAACACGTAGCACGTGATAGTGATGTGAGTGCAGATTTCTGAATTTGCAGCGTCAACGACCTTTGTGTAGTGGTTGGTGACTCACCATCTGAGTTCTCAATTCAATGATGACTTTTAGAAGGTAGATAATTATGTGATTTGGAACGCGCTTTGGTAGAAAAACGCCTATAGCAGGTCCATGTGCGAGTGGAATATATCCTCCATTTTATGCCAACAACACCAACATGGAAGCATTGTGGGCAACCGACTTGGCCGTGCTATGACACTTGATGATGTATTGTGGTACTTTGTCTATCACTTCAAGCCTCCTGGTTGACTTGACCATCATGGATTGCTTCTTTCATAACGAAGATCAGCATTTAAACTGTGACAATAATTACCACCACCTCCAATGCCTCTCTTACAGGAGGAACACATCTTACAAGAAATGAAACACTTCAGTCTTCAGTTAGTGTTGACCTGGAATTGTATGGAGAGCAAGGTTGTGAATGCAGAAACTTCTGTCCAGTACTACACAGAATGTGATTTCCACCAATCCAAAAATCCTCACAGTCATACCCAAGGTGAAAAGCACACGGCTGAGGACTCGTGGCTGCTATAGCATCCACTTTGCGTCCTTCTTCTTCTCCAAGATGAATTGCAATTAGGCTAACGATCTATTTGTTCTCTCTTCTTGTTCACGGAAATCTCGCTGTAAGCTGCCCTCACTGGAGAGAATGTTCTAGAATGGGAAAAGCGCCGGAAGTACGAAGAGCGAGGACGCGAAGTCGAGCATGCCTTCTCCGTGCCCGTTATGCTTCCGGCCTTTGGTGGCTATGGAAAGCATGCCTATACTCTTTTCACGCGGATCACCTCTCTCCTGGCTGGGAAGAGCAAGGAGCCATACGGGCAGATTATCTCCTTGCTGCGCTGCTGCTCTGTATTTGGAAGCCCATTGATTTGCTGATGCATATGCCAGACATGAGCGTAGTGATCCGTACAGTACACTTCTGACGAGCAGGTTGTGTACTTAGTAAAAAAAATAAAAAAAGCAGTGCAGCTGTGTCTTCTGTACGAGGTGAGGGTCCCCCTGGGTCAGGTTCTAAGGCCTCGGTCACACTACAGGAAAAATGCTGTGTCAGGGTCAGAATCATGAGATTTTCCATGGCAACTGACGCAACCGCTGGAAAGTTGAGCGTAAGACGCTGCTGCGTCGACTTGGGGAAATCGGCTGCATTGCCGCTGATGCCAGTGACGCTTGGCGGAAAACAGTGTCTTTCAAGGCAGTTGCTTGAGTGGAAGCAGTCATTCGACATTCGTCTCTTCAAAATGTTTTTCTTCCCTCTTTTTTTTAGATGAGTCCGTGGGCCTACGAGCACCGAAAAGGGATAACCAGTATGACGGAGTCAGGAGAAACACAGCTGCTGTGCGGACTTTTCTTGCCTGATCCATGACACTACAACTGTAAAGGGCTTCAAATTCGGAAAGAAACAACAACGATCGTGCACGGCTTCTTGTTACAATGAAAAATCAACGAAAAATTTGAAAACTTTGTCCAACATTTTTTGGGATAATAAACAAAAACCGGTTTTCGTGGAAATCCGTGTCGTCATTGAGTTTCCCTGGTGATTTTGTGAAGTATGCAAATGCGTCAGGCCGCGGCAGTCATGAGCTGCACAAATACAAAACACTGTGTGATCCCGCTTCTGCGTCAAGTGATGCAGCTTGACACTGCGTCCTGCTTCAAACTTGCCGGAGTGTGACCAAGGCCTTAGACCTCTGTCACACTACGGCAAAAATGCTCCGTCAGCGTCAGAATCATGACCTTTTCCATGCCAACTGACGCTAACGCGGGAAATTTGAGCGTCAGACGCTGCTGCGTCTGACGTGGGTAAATCGGCTGCGTTGCCGCTGATGGGAGTGACGCTTGGTGGAAAAACAGTGTCTTTCAAGTAAAATTAGTTTCAAGACAGTTGCTTGAGTTGAGCAGTAACTCTACAATCGTCTCTTCAAGGTTTGTTTTCTTCCCTCTTTTTTTCGGGATGAGTCCGTGGACCCACGAGGCCGAGGCTGCTCTGCTCCGAACCTGGCAGAAAAGCGAGACGTTTTCTGAGAAGAAAATGATGTCGAGAAAGGACCCGTTGTTTGAGTGGGTCATCGGCCAACTGGAGCCTGTTGACTTGTGAGTGTTGTGTTGTCGTACTGAGCCCCAAAAAGGACAACCAGTATGACGAAGTCGGGAGAAACACAGCTGCGATGCGGACTTTTCTTGCCTGATCCACGACACTACAAATGAAAATGGCTTCAAATTCGGAAAGAACCAACAGCGATCGTGCACGCGCTGACCTTTCCTCTTCTTGTAATCCAAAATCAATGAACTACTTGAAAACTTTGAAAAATGGCCGGTTTCCGTGGGATCCGTGTCGTCTTTGAGTTTCCCTGATGATTTTGTGAAGTAGACAAATGCGTCAGGCCGCAACAGTCATGAGCTGCAAAAAAAACAAAAACACTGTGTGACCCCGCGTCTGCGTCAAGTGCTACTAATGAACCCCATACGCTCACCCGTGTCTGTTTGGCAGTAGAGAAACAAGAGACTCACCTGTCTGCCCTTGTTAGCACTTTTAATTGTAATCCTCATCGAGGCCATAAACCCCAGTATGATCCTTCCCATAATTAACCTACCTCTAATTCTGCCCGCTCTGATGGCACCGGCCCTTCCCGGGCCGATTTCCCCTACGGTACCGTGAGTGATGTATGTACAAAGAGAAGTAGAGATTGATGAGGAGAGAAATGGTGAAAATAAACTGCAAGTTGGCGGAATTCCGTTGATTGTATAAGCATGGTCAGCTGTTAATTTCCTGAGGGCAGCTTTGAACTTATAGAGCGAGGCTTCCGATGTTAGACTGGAAGGTAAACAGTTCCATAAAATAGCAGTTCGGAACATGAAGAGAGACTTGAACAATGATTTTAATTTGGGAAGAATGATTTTACTTGGTCCCGCTCACTATACGTAATCTTGAAATGAAAATCAGCAAGGTAATCATGATGATTCAAAACATATCTGTGAAAGGTAGTGAGACTGATGATTTGACCACGATAGGCTAGTGACTCTAGGGAGCATCTAGAATTTAAGAGAGCATGTCTGAGAATACCAAAGTATGTGTGCAAGTGAATCTCTCCGATTTCGCTCAAAATTTGCAGCTAGGGTCCCTTTGGGGTGTGGATCGATTGTGCAAAGCCCTTGAAAAAGTTTCTACAGGGAACCTTGAAATTTGCATACTGGTACCCCTCAAAAATGGCCGAAATATAACATTATTTATGGGTCTAGAAACGAGTCACGCCACAGCGCATACGAACAAGCTATGAATAAAACTCCATCAAGCCAACATTCCCTCACCTTAGAAAAGTTCCTGGAGCAGTACCGCTTAGCCACGCCAGCATCCCAGAAGACGGGGTCCATCACCCCCTGACGCCATAAATAATCGTCTTTAAAATAGCCAATTTACAAGCGCTGGCAAAACAGCAAACTACGTCGTCAATTGGCCAGAACTATACACCGGTAGATAGCAAAACACCTCTTCTAGCGCTGAGGACATGTCCCCTATCTTCAATTTGGGATTTTCATGAAATATACTATTTTGAATATTTCCACTCGACCATGCCGAAATACGGCCAAAGTCATACCTGCGCAGGAAAGCTCGACCCTCCGCGTCGTCTCCTCAGCAATATCTACTCCAACACTACTCCCAAGGCCGCAGAACAAAGTGTATTGTTGACTCTGACAAGGAAATGCAGCGCTGATCACTTGTGACTCCGAACGACAAGCTTCTCCTTGCGCCAGCAAAATTTTGTTTGTGCCACTGTTGATGCAAATATGACTCAATTCTTTAGGAGTATAGAGTGGCCGACCCGGTCGAATGCTTTCCTGAAATCTAAAGATATCATGTCAAAATTAGTGCCATTATCAATATTTACAGCCATTGCTTGGGTTAGCAAGATGAGTTGGTCCGTTGCAGAATTGTTGCGTACATATGCGAATTGACCTTTACAAATTATACTTTGGGTCCTCAAGTATCGAAGTAGTCGTTCCGATAGAATCTTTTCCATTAGTTACTAGGAGTATTTTGCTGCAGGAAACAATATCGTTCCAGTGCAATTCACTGAACCGGTTCCGCTGTATTTCATGCGTATCTCGATCTGCAGGAGGCAATAATGATCAACTATTCTCGAAACCGTCCAAAGGTAAAATCGACTTCCTTCCATGGAAGCGACCACTCTCCAACAACGTGAAACTTTTCATACTCTATTGTTTCGCAACTTGAGATTGAAACCATTGCCTTCAACTCTTACGTCTTTGTCAGTGCGTAGCGCTATGAAATTCTTTTCGGATATATTTGTGTCCTAATGCGCAGCTCCTCCCACCGCTACGGGAGGGTTTAATATCCATGAGTGCACTGTCATTAAATCCTGTGGCTACGAGCCATCACCTCCTCAGCGGCGTGTTGCGTTCCAAACGCCACGTCAGCCACAGTTCATGGGCACAAATCTCTCATTGAATAAATCAATCTGGTCCTATGATGTCCAAGAAATCACCCTCAGCACTCCTGAGAAGGCCTTGTTCAGGCCAGAAACGCACTTCGTCAAGGTTGGCACCTCGGACAAAGGTGTGTTTGAACTCCACAGTGGAATGAGAGCGGGAGTACTGCTTGCCGTTAGCCATCGTTCCTCTGACCAAGGATATGAACTCGTCATGATGCCAAGCGTCAACGCCAAAGCGGAGGGACTCACTACCACATTCAGCTGGGAAACGGTATCTGGTGAATAGAAAATCATGATGTCATTCTCTAGAATATGGGTACATGCATGTCCGCGCTTTTTATAAGCGCTTGGAGGATAAAAGCAGTTTCCCAATCATAATGATAAGAGAACGCACCACAGTGTATATTATAACTCGGTTTTAATCTAGTTGATGCGTTCACCCCACTGCTGATTTTAGTGACGGGCTACATGTAAACTGTGTACATCACGGTTACTATAACTACTTCTTACAGTTTTTCAAAGCTCATGGCCTGATTACAAAAATTATTTTTTCCCCAGTACGGTATATCCTAAACTTTCACTGCATTGCTAAACTACAGCACTGTCATGGAAAAGAAGAATGCCTGTCATGTGACGACTGCGAGGTGCGGTGTGGTGAGTGAGTGGCCGGAGTGACCGACCCCCCTTCCCACCCCCTCCCCGCCCCCCCCCCCCGAGCATCTCGTGTTGCTACGTATTATGCCCTGCTGTCTGCCGACATCACACCTGGCTATTAACAATACTTGCGTACTTCATTATTTTTTACTATCACGTCTTTATCATAAGTTTAGTTTTTCACAGTGATTGTCACTGGCTTCTTTTGCTTTGCCCTCATCATCATGCTTCAAGCGCTCCCATTATGCTAACCCCTTTCGGTACAAAGGATGATTTTCAATATCTTACCTATACTACAATATCTACCTTTCTATGTATTTCACTCAACTCGTCGTCCATGACTAATCATCACGCAAAGTGCGAGACAGGCATGATAGCCATCTTTACTAACTAGATGTTAGTGCTAGGCCTCGACCAAATATGTTAAAAAAGAGCATATTATGCTATAATACTCATAAAAAGGACACACTTCAGGCTGATTACAAACATCTTGAAAGTTGTTGTCTTCAAAAGTATACTTTCAAGCCTTCTCGTCAGGTGAAATACAGGCAAGGAAAAAGGAAGAGGACAGTGGATTAAATACAGTAAGAAGGTGGTAAAACAGCGCAAAGAAGAAGATAGCTAAAGTAAACAGCGAAAAATTGCAATAATGACACAAAATTGCAAGTGCGAGAAAACTCAATAAGCGTGACATGTAGAGCGACAACAAGAGACAACACTGGACATACATGTAACTAACGAGGTTTTGACGACCCACCTAACCGCCTAAGTGTGAATTTAATTTGTTTCTGCTTGCAAAGGTTGGGTTTCTTTGTGTGGATGTACATGTATACGGCTTCCAAAATTTACAGCTGACTATGCTTATGCAATCAACGGAATTCCGCCACCTTGCAGTTGATTTTCCCCATTTCTCTCCTCATCAATCCCTACTTCTCTTTGTACATACATCTACATCTACTGTTCTATCAATCAAATGAACCCCTCGATAGGCACATTGCCTTTGGGTCATTTCATAATAATAATAATAATAATAATAAAACATTCAGCAATCTAGCACTGCGTACACGCTTTTCCCTTGCCTGTATTTCACCTGGTTTGGTTTGGTTTGGTTTTTATTATTTCAGTTCGTTGCCTCAACAGTACAAAGTACAAATATCAAGAGGGACGAACGAAAAGAGAAAATGAAACAGAGCAGAGAGGAAGATGCAACCGAAAGGAAAGAAAAACGGAGAGAAACGGAGAAGGAATGGGGACTGGGCGGATTCATGAACCGTTACTAGAGCAGGGCAATGCATGAACAGAAGGACAAGTCCGTCAATATTCAGCCTTATTCTAATGGTGAAATACATTTTCAAAAAGGAGGGGCTATAGGGATATAGTCAATTTGTCGTCATTCAGAGCGTGTAAAAGTTCTGTAGAAAATGATCTAATGTCCTCACTTCCTTTCAAGTGAGCAGGGAGGGCATTCCACATAAGGGATGCTCTGGAGGAAAAGGAATTGTACCCTACCATGGATTTATACAAGCAAATTGACAAATTGTTTGTTGTAGCTCCACGAGTTGACCGCTTAGAGGTGGGCAAAGGGAAAAGACTGCGTAAGCATGATGCAGGCTGAACAATATGACAAATAAACGTAACCGTAAGAAATTGATAAATGTATCGATATGCAAGGTGTTTTATTTGAAAAGAAGCAAGAAGGGGTGGTACAGCAGCATGATATGAAGCACTGCAGGTAACTCACACAGCTCTGCGGAACAAGGTAAACAATCTCTCCCTGGACTGTTCTGATAGGTGAGATGCGTAAACAGGGAAACAATACTCAAAGTCGGGATTAATCACACTAAGCAGGTACTGGGGACGAGCAAATGCTGCCATTTGGCGGAAGGTGCGTCGCAACGCGCCTATCTTGCGTGACACCTTGCTGGTGAGGTGATCTACGTGTGGAACAAATGAGAGCTTGTTATCGATAAGGATACCAAGGCAGCGAATTACACTCACTTCCCTGAAGGTAGTGCCGCCCAGCTCAACAAGAACGAGTCTTTGTACGTCAGGAGCCTTCTACGGCAAGATCCTCATGACCACGGTTTTGTCAACATTAACGCTCACGCCCAGTGATCTTAGTTCATTGGATCCTTACTGAGAGCCGAGGCCACGACATCGGCGCATACTATTGGATCTCGAGGAAGCGTACAAAGTCTTGTCATCGGCAAACATGAGGAGCTTTACACCGCTCCTTGCAGCCAGGTCAGGTAAGAGTCGCACATATAGGTTAAAAAAGGGTGGGAGCCAAGATTGTTCCCTGCGGAACCCTTCGGGTAACAAGGAGAAGAGATGATGTTCCAGAGGCTATACATACACGCTGGTACCGGCCGTTCAGGTAGGAAGCGAACCATTTCAGGACAGAACTATGAATGCTTAAGCTGTGCAAAGTAAAGATAAGTTCCTGGTGCACAACTCGATCAAAGGCCTTGCTTACGTAAATAAATGCTACAACGGTTGTATGACCCACATCTCTAGCCAAAGTCCAGTCATTTACAGCCAGGGTCATGACCTGCACTGTTGATCGCCCTGACGAGAAGGCTTGAAAGTATACTTGTGATGACAAAAACTTTCAAGATGTTTGTAATGAGCCTGAATTGTGTCCTTTTAATGAGTATTATCGCATTGTTGTCTCAGAGGAAACTGTTTGCATATTATGCTCGTCGCATATCAGGGAAAATGTCCATAATATGCCAGAGGCTTAGCAAGATATGCAAAGATATATGCCAAAATATGCCAAAATATGCTGGACATAAGCAGAAAGTGTCTAGTTTGCACTCGAAATGGCTGTACGAAGGCATTCAGTACTAACACATGTGTCGCATTGTTGAAAGTATCCTGTGGGAAAATGGTGAGGACGGCTGGAGGGCACAGTTACGGTGTGAAGTTTGATAACAAAAATGTATTTGGAGAGTCATTTCCGGTATGGTCGCAACCACCCTTATCTCTAGAGATATATTTTCCGTTGTCAGGAGGCGATGAAGACAATGCTATTGATGTGTGTGGAAGATTCAGCACATATCCAGTGCCTATTCGATTAGGTGATCCGGGAAGTTAGTTCGAAACACTGGAAGAAAATGACAAAAAAACCCGACTTGTGTTCGAACTCGGAGGGTGAGCCAATGCTAATGCACAACGAGAATGATGAAATGGTATGAGTTGTGAGTAACTGACCACAATTGCAACGAGATCATGTACTGTAGGGGAGTGTGAAAAAAATGCAAAAACAGGACAATCAGTCTTCATCCATCAAAATACTTGGCATCAAAATCTCAAACCATTTACGAGGGTAAACAAATGTTCTGACTTCGAACCCTAAATTATTCGTTGGAAAGAAAACACGATCACTCTGACAAACTTTAAACTCGGATCCTGAGCCAGTAATAAAATTTAATGTAAAAAAAGGGAAGAAACAGATTAGAACGAATTATGCAGCAACTATCCACGACTGTAACAAGATGATAAACGGTGTGTTGGAGCTAGGTGTCGGGTCGCTGAATGTCTCGCTGAATGTCTCAGTAGTTGGTCAGTTTTGTGCCCTATTATCGCGCTTTCTGACGGATTACCATATTGTTACAGTCGTGGATAGTAGCTGCATAACTCTTTCTAATGTGTTTCTTCTCTTTTTTACTCTGAAAAACCTGTGGGACTGATTCTGCTACCGAATTGGATTGTCTATTTACTACTCAGAAATAGACATTAGCGTCGAAAATGGTCTACGTTATTGCAGGCATGGGGAAGCGTGGGTCAGAGGCCGCCCCTGAATTTTTATTCCACACCCCCCCCCCCCCCCACATTCCCATCTGTCCCTCAAACCAATAAATTTGAAATCATTGGTATAGATTTGGCAGCCCCTGGCACCCTAGGCCCTGCCGCACTAGTTCAGACGGGGCTGAGGATGAAACAATGTTTTATTGGATATGGGGAAGGGCAAAATGGCGCGAGTTATGCCTACCATCCCCCCCCCCCCCACACACACACACACAACATCAAAAATGGCTACTTAATAAGATAGGTCTTTTGATAGCAATCCGTACATGGTGCCGCTTGACCGATTTTTCTTACACCTTTTACTATCGAGACATCTTTCAAGGCCTACTTCCCGTACGTGCAAACAGGAAGTTCTTCATTCGCCTCCTGCAGTAATATCTGCAATAATAATGGAACGAGGAAGAGGATGATGAGATGGACGAGGAGGTGTCGGGTGGGAAGGAGCGAGATGAGGCGGATGAATGTGTTCATCGTAAGAAGTCAGCTGTGTATCTACACTTGTTATCTCGTCCTAACTGTCTTATTGTGTATCATGACTCTCATTTTTCTGTACTGTGTCGTGCGCGTTATGTCCAACAGTTGAAAGTCCTTGAGGCAGTTTGTATACGTATTCATAAGCCTGTTTTGTGTAAGCAGAAGGAGCACGTTGTTCCACTGAAATTGTATTCGTAGGTTGACACTTCGTTTAGTGCCTTCTCGCATTTGGTTACGTAATCTTGTTACCTTTTTGCGTTTTCTCTAGTGGTTTTATTGCACTTGTATCTTGTTGTTATTTCTAACACCTTTCTATTTACAGTACTTAACTTAAGTTTCTTTGGTTGTATCTTTAGTTCCGTATTTTTCCAACTGACGATAGGAACAAGAAAATCGATTATGGGTTCTGTGGAAGAGAAAAAGACATATGGATACGAGTTAAGAGTAACTCTCCATCACTGTAACATGATACTATATACAGTCAGAAAGTGCAATAACTAGGCACAAAACTGACAGAGTACTGAAACATTCGACGTCCTGACACCTAGCTTCAACACATCTCCGTAGCGCTAATCGACAGCCTTCCAACTTGGAAGGTTCAAGGTTATGGAAAGACCAAAGAGGGTTGTTTTGTAGTCAACTAGTCCATCACAATGTCATGCATGAGGAGTAATGTAGGAGTTTGGCTTTCGGCTTGTACAATTCGTTTTTGCAAAGCTTCCCTTTCTTTATTTATCTTTGATATTTATGACCCACCCAAGTTGGGTGGTGTGCTGCTTAGCTGCTTCGAATTGTAGTTAGACCGCTTTGTCAAATATCGTACTGGTCTCATCATCGTCCAGTAACAATCGACATTCTTTGTTCCGTTGGGACTGTAGCTTTTGCTCGTTTTCGTTGCGCTTGCCTTCCCCTCTTTGGTCTTTCCATAACCTTGAACCTTCCAAGTTGGAAGGCTGTCGGTTAGCGCTACGGAGATGTGTTGAAGCTAGGTGTCAAGACGTCGAATGTTTCAGTACTCTGTCAGTCTGGTGCCTAGTTATTGGACTTTCTGACTGTATAAAGTATCATGTTACAGTGATGGAGAGTTACTCTTAACTCGTATCCATATGTTTTTTCTCTTCCACATTTATTTATGGCTCAACATCCGAGTTTCAAATTATGGGTTTTCAATAATATTAATTTTTTGTTATAAAATACACAGTAAATACATGTCAAACAAGTAACGTAGTTGCGTATTGTCTGCGGCCTTCATCCTTTCCATAGCTATATTAAAAAATTTATCTCTACGTAGATTATTTTAATAATAATAATAAATATTAATAATCTTCACCACTTTCAGGGAAAGACACAAACGGGAAAAGTCTGAAAATAAATTTGGACACGAACCAGGGGCTTGTAGCTAGCGATGCTCTAACCACGGAGCTATGGTGTAGTCGTCATTCCAGGAGAGACCGTTCAACAATTTAAACTGGACGGTTGTGTGCCGAACGGGAGCCACGAATACACATGATGGCAGCTCTTGCCAAAGCGAATGCCAACCGAGTGCGGACAGAAGACATCACGTAACGATACGTCTTGTTATCATTGCCTGCAAGTATGCCGCACAAAAACAAAACAAAATTCACGGTTCACGTGAGACTTGGCCAAAGGCCCAGTTTTTCGCAGCCGCAGGAACGCCACCACCCTCTTGGATCAAGGCGCAGATGCAGCTCCTAAGCGGTGGGAGGTGAGTAGATCAGACCCACCACAAAGTGGTCACAGACCGAAATCCAATTCAATGCATCCATGTTTCCCTCGTGCCAGGCCACGAATTCCCATTTAACTGTGGCTCGCAGCACCACAAGCTCTTGAGAAATCGGCTGTTTTACGACGACTTACATCCAGCCATCGAGAAGACAAAGGAGTGAAGGTCCCACGGTCGACGTGTATTGTATGCATCGTGCGACTTTATCTGTAGATTAGTAGTTTTGTGGAGACACCTTATGCACCGCAAAGGGATGAACCAATTTTTGCCGTAAAATTTACCGGCCACAATCGGGGACCATTGCACTGTTCCCTGATACAAATAGAAAAATTATGCAATGACGGCTAAAAAAAGAGCTGTTCTATTCCAAAATCCTCCCCCCAAAACAGGATCCTCACCGAACGACTCCGAAATGCTGCTCCATGTATTCTTCCGAACAATGTCTGTTCTCTTTCTTCCTCATTTTCCTCCTTACATTGTCTACCCTATTTTTTCCTACTTTTAATGTTCTGGCTCTCTTCTTTATAGGCCATTCAAACGACCGTTACTCTGACTTTAACGTACCGTTCACAAAGTACACGCGTGCAACTGGTTTTATATCTTGCCCGAGGCCCTTTTGCTCTCGATTATCTTTGCACGCCAAGAATAATGTCGGCTGTTTAAAGTGTATACTAGAAATGCAGTGCTTGAACAAAGCAAAATTCAAAATGTTTAACATTTCCAGGCAATGTCAGGAGGTCACTATCGATACACTGACGGTTGCAAAGTTTGTCCAGTTTCGTGTTAACTGGATCACGGTTTGCCAGTGTTATCTTGGTCACATGCAGAAGTACGCGTGGGGAGTGGAAGCAAACTTTTGAGCTCAGATAGTGATATCTTTTTCTGCAGAAACTGGCTAGAGTGCGTGTAGGATTGTTATAAAGATGTCTAGAATCTGTTCCATTCAGCTGAATGAAGGGTGGTCCTCGAAGGATCATGCCTTTTTCATCAGACTTCTTCTGTCAGGTGGTGTAAGACCTGATGATATCAAGCAGGTGGATCTGAGTGGAAGGCGCGGATTCTGTAGAGTTTCGTTTTCCTGCACTGCCGTTAGGGACGAGGTGTTGTCCAGAGGGTTAGAATTTGAAGGAAAACAACTAGTATTAGTAGTTGGTGATGGAGCAGTTGTGTCCGCGCATATATTTGGTGTGGCGGATGACACCCCACTGTCCGCCATTACGTCCGCGATGGAGAAATTTGGATCCGTCATTGGTGTTCCGAAGCGGGAAACAAAGGCTGTGGAAGGCTGCACCTTCACAACTGGTACTACATTCGTAAACTTAGTACCCACAGCTATCGTACCCTCCACCATCATGTTGTCTGAGTCCCGGCTGAAACTGCGCGTTTGGCACAGGGGTCAAGTTCCCACGTGCTACAAGTGTGGCTCCAGTACTCATATCGCCAAACTCTGCACCCACCAGGCCAGGAGGCCCAGTCCGTACGCTGATGCAGCAGCCAGCGCGCTGAAGGGTACTCAGGGCCAGGCCCAGGGGACACTGGATGACACAGTGGGTGCAAATTCAGAACCAACAGTGAGTACAAGCCAGTCAGCAAGCAGTACAGCTTCAGCACCTGAAACTGGGACACCTCAAGTTTCTTCACCTAGTCAGGAATCAGCCAAACCAGACCAGCTTAACAAGGAACTGGGAGCTGCTCACTGCCCTTCAGATGACAAGGGCGGCTTTATGGTGGCCAAGGGACGGAAAACCTTCAGAGTGCCAAAAAACCTTGTTGACTTTTCAGGAAATGAGCTACTGACCGACTCGGACATGGAACAGGAGGACATGGGTAACAACGAGAGCAACGACCGGCATATGACAGTTGGCGAACTCACCATATCGTTTTAGATCATGACCAGTGTAGCTTTCTTAAATGTCTGTAGCCTTAGGAGAAAAGTAGCAGAAATTGAAGACTTTTCACTCACAAAGCGACTGTTCAGTACATGGGGTAGTGGTCTACCAGAGCAATCACACTCACGCAACTTCAACTACCACGAGGAAAAACAAAGACCACGATGGCAGGTTCAACGGAGTTGCGCAGAACAAGAGCAAATGCACGAAAATATTTGTGAGTGAAAAATACGTTTTTTGCACTCTTTCGCTACGCTCAGCCGTGAAAAAACAAAACTTTATCTCAACCCGTGGAGTACACATCCTAGGCGTTGCGGAAACTTGGCTGTCAGCCGATGTAACAGACGGAGAAGTAAACATTCCTCATTTCAGTGTGTTCCGCAAAGATCGGGTAAGAAGGCGAGGAGGCAGTGTTGCCTTCTACTGTCATACGTCCTTGCAAGTCCGTCGAAGACGTGACCTCGAGTGTGAGATGGAGATGCTGTGGCTGGAGATTCTAGCCCCAGGTCGACCAGGCAATGAGACGGTCTTACTGGGCTGCTGCTATCGACCACCTGGTGAGTCTGCGGGCTACTGGGATGGGCTGGAGTCAAACCTAGAGACTGCCTGCAGTGGACCGCAGACCACACCTGTGCTAGTAGGAGACTTCAACGTAAACTTTAATGATGCCCATGCTGTGACTCCTTTGCATCATGTACTCAACCAGTTTAACCTTCGCAACCACGTCACATCTCCTACCCGAGTAGTAGTAGTAGTATTTATTATTTGACTAGGGGAGTCCCAACAGGCATCGCCTTGTTACAGGGAACCTTAGGTGAATCTTTGTGAGGTGAGCAAAAGTACCAGCAGATTGTGCCTGACGACAGTTTGGAGGAAGAGTGTTCCACCGACCTGCCGCCAGAAAAGAAACTGAGCGCAGTCCATGCCCAATATGTACAGTAGGTAATACTAAGGCAGCTGTATCCTGGCCACGAGTACGAGCATTTGTATGCGGGCCAACTGAACGCAGGAGAAACAGTGACTGAAGGAGGGGGCTAGTAATTGATGACAAGCAGCCATAGACCAAAACGTATAGTTTCAAATTAACTCGTTGCTCAAACGAATACAGATGACACCGTTGTAAAACTAATGCAGTTGGGGTCATTCTATCTAAACCAAATGCGAGTAACCAGCAGTTCTGCCGCACTACTGGATCTATTCTTGTCTACCACCCCGATCCAGGGTGTTTGCGAGACTATACATTTGGATATCAGTGACCATTCTGCAATACTTGCCAGGCTGCCAATTTCAGCAAGTCACCACTTGAAGGGACAGCATCTGCGCAAGACTCGCTTTTTGCACAAAGTGGATTGGAATATGTTTACATGTGACCTGGAGAAGACGCTAACTACCTGTGACTCTGTCTGTGTGGATGTGCTTCCGTCGTCACTCACAGCGGGAATCCAGACCACTCTAGACAAACATGCTCCACTTCAGGAACGGCACCGCAAATCTCGACGTCCTTGCCCCTGGATTACAGATGAGTTAATGGCAAGTGTTCGTGAACGGAACCGGGCGCATTGTCTCTGGCTCCGAGCCAAAACCGATCAGAACCTTCAAGAAGCACAAGGATCAGCTCGCTCCAAAGCACGGAAGTTGGACAGGAGTCTGCGCAACTTGTACTTCACAAAGAGATGTGATACATCAGATCAACGGTAACTTTGGGCTGTCATGAACGATGTCACAGGCCGACAGAAGACACGGAAAGAACCTGAAGCGCCGCTTGAGTCACTCAGTAAATTGTTTGGAGACATTGTGCATGACCCTATGCGGCCACCTGAGCTGCATATACCACATGGTCCAGCCTCTGCATCTAGCTTCTCAACATTTCAGCCGGTAAGCCTGTCTGATGTTGCACAATGCTTGCAAACTGTGAGTCCTCACAAAGCATCTGGGAGTGACAGCATTCCTGGAATTGTACTGCAGCAGTGTTCACATGTCCTGGCACCTCCATTTACCACCCTAGTCAATGCATCCTTGACATCAGGTACTGTGCCAGTGTGTTTTAAAACATCACACATTAGTCCACTGTTCAAGAGTGGCAATGCAACATCCCCTACTAACTATAGACCAGTGTCATTGCTCCCTATTCTGTCCCGGATTTTGGAGTTCTTTGTAAAGAAGCAACTCACAGCATACCTCACGCAACATAGCATATTACCTAGCAGTCAGTTTGCCTACAGGAAAATGCACTCTACCGAAGATGCATTAGTTCTAGCCGCCAACCGTTGGCTGTTGGCCAAACAAGAGCGAAAATACACAGGTATTGTGATGGTTGACATGTCAAAAGCGTTTGACCGTGTCCAACATCAACGTCTGATTGATAAACTATTCACCCTGGGAGTCAATGGCAGAGTATTGTTATGGTTGGCTAGCTATCTGTCTGGTCGTACTCAACGTGTCAAGGTGTGTGAGGCTCTTTCTGATGCAGTCCCATGCTCAAGAGGTGTGCCCCAAGGCAGTGTTCTTGGGCCGCTTCTCTTTGTCCTTTACACGAGTGACATTTCCGACGTCATACCTTGCATTGTTGTTTATCAGGAGTTCGCGGACGACATCATCCTAGATTATTCTGATTCAGATCTGGACACTGTTTGCAAGACGTTGACTACGGCTGTGACACGTCTGTCTGACTGGCTCTCCGAAATTGGGCTTCTGCTGAATACCGGCAAAACCCAAGTCATGGTAATTCAACCTCGGGGACTCACTGGCGACATACCAGTCGTGAAATGTAAGGATCAAGCCTTAACTGTTACCTCCACTGCCAAATACCTTGGCGTAACCATTGATGACCAGCTATCCTGGCAGCCCCATGTCTCCAGTGTTGTGCAGAAGGCGTCAGTCGCCATCAGCCAGCTATGGCGCCATGGGCGATCTCTGCCCATAAGAGCCCGCAGACTTTGGTACATTGGCATTGTGCAAGCACGACTAACGTACGCATCCAATGCATTCTTCCCGTCGCTGACAAAGCAGCTGCAGAGTCGTTTAATCAAATCCAGCAAATCCGGAATTCGTGCAATTTTCCGACTCTCCAGCCGTGCATCCACAGCCCCCCTCCTCGTGCGCTTATCTATTCGATCCCTAACTCACATTTTTAACTACAAGGTTTTATTTTTTGTTTTCCGTTGCCTACATGATCTTGCAAGTCCTCTTTTCTGCACCTACTTTCAGTTGATGGCTAACACAGGCCAAGCATCCCGGGATGATCGCCGAATTACTCGAGGACAGGAGCAGCGGCTACTGCAAGTGCCTTTCCTTCCTGGACCTTCCGGTCGTCAGTCATTGACATTTGTGGGAAGCACTCTTTGGAATTCCCTTCCCAGCGATATTCGCCTCCACAGTGCGGCGGTTGCCTTTAAACTGGCTCTGAACAGAATTAATTGTAATTTGTAACCACCTTGCTCGGCATCCCTACACATTACTGCATGTTTTCTCGGTGTTTTCTTCACTGCATGCTTACACATACACACACCCATTTGAATTATATACAAACTTTGTGCTTTGGAATTATCATGATTGCTATGATTCTTTTTAATATTTCCTTCTCTCATAATATTATATTCGTTCTTAGCAGAAACCGGAGGTTTTTCCTCTGGCGAGAAGGCAGAATTGCCTGTGCTCTAAACGAATTCAAATAAAAGAAACAAACAAACAAACAAACATTGTTGTGATTTGCTTTCAAGCAATGTGCATAATCAGTAACTTGATGTCTTTTTTTGTTTTGTTTTTTGTTTTGTTTTTTGGTTTCCCGTTCTCGGGGCCTTCTATTCGGTACTCTTTGTAGTTGTACTTCTGTACTGTTGAGCTATCCGAATTCAAATAAACATAAAAAAAATAAAAAAAGTAGAACACCTCTTCTAGCACTGAGGACATGTCCTCAATCATCGTTTTTGGGTTTTCTTGAAATAGACAATTCGGAATTTTTCCACTCGATCATTCTGAAATACGTCCAAATACCTGCGGCGCTCCTCCGCGACGTCTAGTCATTAATTTCTTCACCAACACCACTCCCAACGCTGCAGAACAAAGTGTATTGTTGACTCTGACAAGGAAAAGCAGCGGTGATCACGTGTCACTCCAAACGACAAGCTTCTCCTTGCGCCACCAACATTTTTCGGTGCAGCAGTTGATGCAAAAGTGACTGAATTTTTGCGTTTAAGTTTTGGATAATACTTTAGTGGAATGGTCTAAAAAAATGCGCGATTTCGCGCAATGGCGGATGCAAAATTTGAAGCTCTGCATGTACTCGCGATTCAACATCCTCTCAGCTTGTTTGTGAGTCTGCAACTGTAACCCATAGAGTCTGTGACTTGTACTGTGGACTATGGCCACCAATGAGCATGTCGACCTGGCCCTTCTGACGTTTGACTGCCTCCAAAATCTGGCCACCCGGAACGGCATCGCGAAATCTGATTCTCTCTCGCGGCCAGACCTGGTAGGAGCACTCCGGAAGGAGGGGATTGGGTCCCACCCCATCCTGGAAGGTATGACTGGTATAGGAGATATAACGACTGCCTTAGCCTCATTGTCCACAACAATAATGGATTTAAACAAGGAGATGATGGCGACAAGGGGGGGGGGGCAGAGACGATGAAATTGCGTCCTTGAAACGTGAGATTCAAGAACTCAGGCGGGAAATTGCTGACCTAAGAGACATTAGGGAGGTTTCGCTCTACGGAATTACGTATGAAAATAACGTATGAACTGCACGGAATTTTCATACGTGAAAATCAGAGCTGTTGGGTTTCGCTCTACGTGATTTCTCCACGACTGCTCAACATGCGTTGTTGCTTTGGAGACGCGTTGGCTGCATGCGCCCACCGTATGCACCATGAACCGAAACCGCGTTTTCCATGATATTTTGCACGTGGTGTACGGTGTGTGTACCTTGTGTTTCGCGCGGCTTGAATGTTGCCATGGACAAATGCGGAAAATGCGAAAATATATTTCAAAAAGTCCTACGGAGGACCCAACGTAGGAAAGAGCTTTCCTACGGAAATCCGTAGAGAGATTTACGTATGAAAGTTGCCCTCGCTGCCCGGCGCGTACGACATACGGATTTCCATACGTAATTACGTAGAGCGAAACCTCCCTAATAGCGTACACACCGCAGTACACACACAGCATGCCATGCAACGCGTACACGGGAGCCACACGACCTCTGGCAGCACAGCACAGTACAGCGACGTACTAGCAGGAACATCCCAACAACCTGCACGTGCACCCGCTGGACCCTCCAGCTCAAGCCCGCCGGTACACACCCTGTACGGTACACACGCACATGCTGGCAGTGCCAGCCAGCCCAGTGCACACACTGTACAGCAACCTAGCACTGTCGACTCCGTCTCACACCGTACGCACACCCCTCAACCCGAATGGCAGGACGTCCAAGCAAGGCGTTTGCGCAGGGCTCAGCGTTCAAGCACACCCGTAGAAGGCAATACTAATATGCAGACATCCTTGACCACCAAGCGCGAGGAGAAGTCCCGCTACACAAACGAAACACCCCCCGCCGGTGGCCATGTTGCTGAGTTGACGGCAGCGCCCCGGGCAAAGCTTAAGAGAGCATGTCGGAGAATACCAAAGTATGTGTGCAAGTGGATCTCTCCGATTTCGCTCAAAATTTGCAGGTAGGTTGCCTTTGGGGTGTGGATCGACTGTGCAAAGCCCTTGAAAAAGTTTCTGAAGGGAACCTTGAAATTTGCATACCCCTCAAAAATGGCCGAAATATCACATTATTTATGGGTCTAGAAACGAGTCACGCCACAGCGTATACGAACAAGCTATGAACAAAACTCCATCAAGCCAACATTGCCTCACCTTAGAAGAGTTCCTGGAGCAGTACCGCTTAGCCACGCCAGCATCCCAGAAGACGAGGTCCATCACCCCCTGACGCCACAAATGATCGTCTTGAAAATAGCCAATTTACAAGCGCTGGCAAAACAGCCAGCTACGTCCTCAATTGGCCAGAACTATACACCGGCAGATAGTAGAACACCTCTTCTAGCGCTGAGGACATGTCTCCCATCTTCCTTTTGGGGTTTTATTGAAATAAACTTTTTTGAATTTTTCCACTCGACCATGCTGAAATACGGCCAAAGTCATACCTGCGCAGGAAAGCTCGCCCCTCCGCGACGTCTCCTCAGCAATTTCTACTCCAACACTACTCCCAAGGCCGCAGAACAAAGTATAGTGTTGACTCTGACAAGGAAAAGCAGCGGTGATCACTTGTCACTCCAAACGACAAGCTTCTCCTTGCGCCACCAATAATTTTTTGTGCGACTGTTGATGCAAAAGTGACTGAAGGCCTGATCCTGATCTAGCTGAGCGCAGTTTTTGAATTTTATTGCAAGATGCACGGTGAGATCGCGTGCTCTGTGACGTAGGATGACGCTTCCTGCATCACGATACGCGGCCAACGATCGTGAAAGTGCCTGGAACGCTACTCGGAACAGACCATGATGGCAGAGGTAAGATGAGCTTCATTTCCTGCTTGAACTGCTGAGTACCCCAACAAACTGTCCTAGGAGTGTTGCAATGGCAGCAAGCCGTTGAAATATGCCCCGTACAGCATGGAGAGTTATTCGTCTTTCACACTTACCTCCTGCAATCCCGAACATAGTCCAACAGTAAAAGTCCCTTGTTTTCATGTCGATGCTCGACAAAAGCGGCTAGCTCGGTCCCTGTGTTGACTGGCACGCGAGTAGCACTGACTGCACGCACTTGTCGCGTGAACTGCATGAGAGATTTCTTACGTCATAAAGAATGTGATTTCATCATCATTTCACTGGTCTTCGACCTACATGGTCAGGGAAAGTCCCGGTTCGTAGGCCTACAACACTCCCAGCGTGTTCTTGAGCGCAGTAACAACACAAGCGGGATGACTCCCAGACCAACGGGCGTTCAAGGCGAGTAACAAGCGCACTTGACGAAGGTGACTCTGAAATCTCGTGAGCCGTGGGCCACGCGACTTGGCATTCTTGCGTCACAAGGCACGTGATTTCACCGTGCATCTTGCAATAAAATTCAAAAACTGCGCTCAGGCCTTCAGTCACTTTTGCATCAACAGTCGCACAAAAAATTATTGGTGGCGCAAGGAGAAGCTTGTCGTTTGGAGTGACAAGTGATCACCGCTGCTTTTCCTTGTCAGAGTCAAAACTACACTTTGTTCTGCGGCCTTGGGAGTAGTGTTGGAGTAGAAATTGCTGAGGAGACGTCGCGACGGGGCGAGCTTTCCTGCGCAGGTATGACTTTGGCCGTATTTCAGCATGGTCGAGTGGAAAAATTCAAAAATGTTTATTTCAAGAAAACCCCAAAAGGAAGATGGGGGACATGTCCTCAGCGCTAGAAGAGGTGTTCTACTATCTGCCGGTGTATAGTTCTGGCCAATTGAGGACGTAGCTGGCTGTTTTGCCAGCGCTTGTAAATTGGCTATTTTCAAGACGATCATTTGTGGCGTCAGGGGGTGATGGACCTCGTCTTCCGGGATGCTGGCGTGGCTAATCGGTACTGCTCCAGGAACTCTTCTAAGGTGAGGCAATGTTGGCTTGATGGAGTTTTGTTCATAGCTTGTTCGTATACGCTGTGGCGTGACTCGTTTCTAGACCCTTAAATAATGTGATATTTCGGCCATTTTTGAGGGGTATGCAAATTTCAAGGTTCCCTTCAGAAACTTTTTCAAGGGCTTTGCACAGTCGATCCACACCCCAAAGGCAACCTACCTGCAAATTTTGAGCGAAATCGGAGAGATCCACTTGCACACATACTTTGGTATTCTCAGACATGCTCTCTTAAGGTCTTTTACATTGGGAACGTGCAACCTCACTGCTCCGCATCATCTATTGCTAAATGGTGCTCCGATCATGGGATCGACATAGTGCAATGCGTCGTCTATGCATCAGCCTACTTCAGGACTGCATATGCACGCGTGACTGTGGAGGCAGCCGACGAGGAGAAAGTAGCCAATAAGGCATTCTGGCCTGACATGCTTTCCCACACCATCCGACCCTGGCGCTTCAAAAGTGACAGCTTTGGCACCAGCACAAACGATGTCGCAACAGCTAGCGATTGATGGCCAATTCCCACCTAAATCCACTGGCTCGGCCCTACTACCCGCGCTGCCAGGAAAAGCTAAACTTGTTCTCCATTAACTGCCGCTCCGTTCTCAACAAATCCGCAGAATTGTCGGCTATTGCCGAGATCCACAGACCTGACATTATCTGCCTCAGTGAAACCTGGTTAGCTCCAAGTGTCGCTCTTAGTATCTCTGGATACGCCACCTTTCGGCGTGATCGACCTCCTAACGAAAACAAGTCTGGTACCGCCTCCAGGGGATATGGTGGAGTCGCTATTCTCGTTCGTTATCATCGTTTCAGTTGTATCCAACTTCGCAACGACCTCAGTCGCCCTACCTGTGAAACAGTGTGGGTGGAGCTTAAACCTTGTTCCGGCTCCCCAAAGCCTATTATTGTCTGTAGTGCCTATCGCCCACCC